TTATATATTCTTAATATTTGTTTCTAATACATTCATAATTATTCTATATAACTATGTAAAATTCTATATATATAATATAATATCCTATATAAATTAATTAAAATTCTGAATATATTTTTCTTATAAAATATTTATCATTATATTCAATAAAAGAGAAAAAATTAATCAAGTTAATCTGAATATGTTTGAGAAAGTTATCAGCTATAATAAATATTAGATTAACTTTTTCTTTAATACTGATATTTTGAATATAAGTCAGATAATTACTCACATATTATTTGATTTCATCTTGCATAATATTAATATGTTACTTATAAATCATTACATATATTTTGTGATAGTTAAAGTGAATAATTCTGATATGAAATTTTTTAAAAAGAACTATTTTCAATTTCATATCATAGATAGAAATGACTTTTTTATGATGAACTAGAAATTTACATTTTTTAACTGTTAAATATAAGAAAGATAATCTTTCTGATAGTTATATACAAAATTTTTACATTATCTTTGAAAATTCATTTTCTTTATCAAGATATTAAACTTTATTAAAAAGATATTGGACTTAATGTAGCTAATTATATTATTAAAATTCTTAAGTATTTCTGAGATTTTTAATAACTTAATCATTTCAAGAGAGAAAAAAAGATATGCATTAATTTTTTTATTTGTTAATATATAAAAAATTATATATAACATATTATAATATAATATAAGAGTATATTTTTATTTATATATCTTGATATTAATATCTTTTTAATCTAATATAATTAATAAAAATAACTTGAAACTATTATATAGTAATAAGAAAAAGTAATACAAAAAACTGCATAATAAAATGATAATAAATCAGAAAGGTAAAATAATGAAAACTAATAATAAAAATATATCAAGCTAATATAGCAAGATGATAGAAAAAACTTGATAATAAGAAATATAATAAACTAGCTTGCATATTTTTTTAATATCAAAAAAAAGAAGATAATTTATATATTCTTTGATATTAAAAAAAAAATAACTTACATATTTTTTGATACTAAAAAAAAAAAATAGTGAAAAGACTCAAAGTTAGCTAAAAATTTATGAAGCAATCAAAAAAATAACTAATTAAATGAAGAATAATTTAATTCAAAGCATATAGAATTTATCTAGATAAAATATTCAAATAAATAAAAAATAATAAATAAAGAAAGAGAAAAAGTAAAAAAATCAAAAAAGTGATCAATTAAATAAGAAGTTATTAAAGATAATTTAATTCAAAGAATTATATAAATCAATCAAGAATTTATCTGAATAAAATATTTAAATAAATAATAAAAAGAGAAAAAAATAAGAAATAAAAAAAGAAAAAGAATAAGAAAAAAAAATCATTTTTTTTCCTATTGAATTTAATATTATATCATTATTAATTGCATGTGATACATAATTAATAATAAGTTATGATGAAATAAAATCACGTGAAGTGCACAAAATGATGTGCACAAAAAAAGATTCAATTTTAATCTGTCACAATATATAATGGTTCTATCATAATGGCTATTATATTTCGGGTTTTGGTTTCCCGAAATCCGAATGTCGCCGAGATTCTAACCAAATTCTTAGTTTTATGTTTTATTGTATTAATATTATAATGTGCAAATGATCTTTGTGCGACTGTTATAGAATAATTGCGAAATAACGCGCGTAGGATGTAATTTCGAATTTTGGGTCTGAATTAAGCTTAATGCGGGCCGTGACTCGAAATAACGCGCATGGGCGTTATTTCGTGAAAACACGGTAGTGTAATATGATGCAAACAGCTTCTATGTCAAGGATTTAAACAATACTTTGAAATACAAAGCATTTGTGTACAAATATTTAAAGAAATATATTATTATATAGCCTTTAATAAACTTTATAATGTAACGTATTTCTTTTTGTTAATACAATAAGTAGTTAGGGCGATTTACCGGATGTTAACCAATCATATACGCTATTTGCCTGGGAACGAGATTTGTAACCTCAGATACCAATTAAGTCCACATAAAAAATTCTCATAAAATTCTGAGTTGGGTGCACCATGAAGTGTGAACTTCGCCATTTTATATGGCCAGAATTAATTTTTCTTTTCAACCGATCGTGAAATGTTAAGAGCACAAAACAACGAGAATAATGTCAATCTCAATAAGAAATCCAGAAGTAAACTCAATTCAAATTATTAAAATTGTAAATATAACGTAAAAGTTTTAGGAGATAGGAAAAGATTTTGATCCGGCGTTTTATTAAGATACAAAATTCGCAGTGCAAAAACAGGAAACGGGATAATAATTCGTCAAACAGCTATAAAAATCTAATCAAAGAATATTTACCAACACCGGTATTCAACTGAACAATAATGACCGAGCAGCAATATTACACTATGATATCGATGTAAATAATCTACTGCTCGAAACGGTTACGATATTTGGTGAACTTTTTGGAAACGTCAGCAGTTATAATTTAATCATTATTTTTCAAATCAAAAAGATAATTCAGGCGCTCGATCGCAAGTTCCGATGTAACAATTGTTACATGGTTGATCCCGCCAATTTTCATATGCTTGTCTCAAAGAGTAAGCCATACATGTCTCTATATATAAGCGAGTATACTGCGAAACTGCGAATGACTCATTAAATCAGTTAGATAACCTTATTACTTGAATAACCGTGGTAATTTTGGAGTTAAATACATGCAAAAAACCCCCCGATTCCTGGAAGGGATGGATTTATTAGATACAAAATCAATCTGGTCTTCGGGCAAATCTCTTGGTGATTCATGATAACTTTTCGAATCGTATGCATGAGCTATCAACTTTCATTGGTAGGATAGAGGCCTACCGTGGTAACGGAAAATTAATTCCGGAATGATCCTGAGGAACGGCTATCAATCCAAGGAAGGCAACAGACGCGTAAATTACCTAGTCCCGACACGGGATATATATTTTCAAATTGGAAACCTTTTACAAAACAACCGTAATTTTTATCTTATGGATAACGATACAACATAAAAAACAACACAAAAACTGTCAGACAAATAAACGAGATTATAAGAAATAATATACGAAACAAACTAGGATATAACCTAGATTTATTCAAACATGGTTTTAGTGATATTTAAAGAGTTCCGAAATAAATACAAAGAAAAAATAAGGAATCGGACGAGAGGGTGAATTAAAGACTGAGGCTCGAAATGAAGTCAGAATGAATTTCAAACGAAACAAAGAGCCAAACCCTGAGAACTAACTCCGCCAGATTTCCAAGCTGAAGAATTGTTAGAAGTGATCAGATCCGAGTCTCGTAGATTGTTGAAGAATCTCTTTGCTAAAGTTTCAGTAAACCATAGTAACTATATACATGTATAACCTAATCGATAGCTACATTATCACCCTTATTATCCGCCGCTTTCTTCAAAAAAATAATCGGCCTTCCCCCTTATCAAACCTATTAACAATTGGTTTTTCGTTGCGCCTGACTCCTGATATCTGCATCTTCAAACGACTTGAACTTTCAGAATTGCAACAAGAATTCAAACGAGATGAGCCATTGACTCGACAATATTCTTCAACGGTGGACAAAATCGAGAGCAGAGTTCAGGCTTTGTTATGTAATAATGATTTTAAAGACACTGTAAAAGTCAAAGATACTATCGCGAATATGATTGAAGATCAAGTGTGGTTGCCAGTTACAGGGTCAAGAAGGTTAACTGGTAATATTATTTAATCGACGCGTCATATCACTGATTAAGCCACGAAGAAATGCCAGAAAGGATCAATGGACATGATGTTGGGAGAGATAAAGTAGGATAATATATTGGGAGACGAGTCCGCTCGAGAAAAAAGCTGCTCTATAAAGCGAAATAATTTGATTCTGTTACATATATACTTTCAAAATAACGGGTAAATCCCAAAATTATGTAACCTTCTAATCTAAACTAAGTAGTTCAAGGAAAAACTACGAAAATAACAACATCGTCTTCAACGCATCACGAATCATGGATTATCCTGTAGATCGTTATAATCGATTGTTGGAGTCTTTATATAAGTTAACAGAACTTTTAATAAAACATAGATTTTTATTTGGATGAGCAGTCAGAATCTGTTTTTGAAAAATTTAATCAACACAAAACATCCTTGTATTTTTGAACTAAGATAATCTTATTGTTAAATATTTTCTTTAATATTATGATTTATAATTGCAAGCTATTTCCTGTTCATGATTTCTTTTTGTTGGAGAATTTTTAATCCTAGCCCTAACCTAAACAATAAATAATCTTTCAACGTTAAATCCAAGCAATTCTCATTTGTAGAGAACGTTTATGGCGGCCAGCTCGCTCAACTAGAGAAGCTGGTTTAAAAGAATCCTAATGCGTATTGCTTGTTGCAAATTCTATGCGTTGTAAAAACGTTTATGGCTGGTAGTTCGCTAGACTAGAGAAGCCGGATTCTCGCCGCTTCTTTAGACTTTTATTTTTATTCATGATTGTATTGAATATGCATACTAGGCCTTGACATATTACTTGCTACTTTTCGCTTTCTTTAGATTTCAGAGATAAGTATAGAAATGTTTTTAGTAGTCTGATTTCTAAAACTTTTCTAAAAGAAAAAAACCCCAGATTGCGGGGGAAAACTTTATTCTATGGCAATAATTAGATTTTTATATACCGATATGAATTCTTAAATTATACGGAAAAATATATAATAAATTTTATTTTATAATGAAGTGCAAATACATACGTTTTTGTTGATGTCAGATTATATAAATATCTCGACTAAGGGAGGTTTTTAATTTAATTCTTTATACGTTTATACTTCTGCAGCAAATTTCGTTGATATAAAGGGATTCAGCTTAGCTTAAAGAGGTCTAATTTGTATTTGTTCGTTTTCATCATTGAATCCTTGGTATCACTCAAAATCATAAATCACATCAATCCGTGCGATTGCTTAAAATTTCGGTTAAATAAAGTTAAATAATTGAGATTTACAAATGAATTTATCGCTTGAGTATCAAAACACCATTCTTGCAGAGCTTCTTTTGGAAGATGGGCTACTGATACTTTCGCGTGGTCTAAGACTCTTTGGAATAATATGTTCTTTGCTAAAAATGCATGTCAAGAAGCAAAACCTTGTTTTGCTTTTGAACGCCTCGTCAAATGAAGAGCAAAGCTTAAAAGAGGGTTTGGCTGATCTTGGTATGAGAAAGCCTGGGCTTAAAATAGTGAATAGTGAAATGGGAGCAAAAGAAAGGTATTTAGGATGAGAAAGACAAAGTTTTATAATATGAATTCGATTTTTTATATTTGATATTTGATAAATTTGATGATATAGAAATGCATTATATTTAAATGGCGGCATTCTTTCAATTACCTCTCGAGTTCTTATCGTTGATTTGTTAAACAAAATAATGCCCACGGATAAAATCACAGGCATTTTGGTGTGCCATGCTGAAAGGTGAATTGAAATCTGTTCTTTAGTTATATATAATCATGGGTAATAAAGGTAGTAATATTCTCATTTTTATTAACTTATGAAGAATAACTGATACTTCCACTGAAGCATTTATTTTAAGAATTTATCGGCAGGAAAATAAAGTAATAATATATTTTACTACTGAGATTACATATAAAAGTTATAAAAGATATTCGTTAAGCCAAAAAGCATATTGCCTATTTAATAATTTTCTATGGTTGTATGAATTACCAATAATCAAGCATTCATGTCAAAAAAACGCGTTATTAGGATGGGTTTATCAAAGCATTTTCGGATTCTCCAGAATCTTTTACTTCGGGGCTCGCGCCTCTTCAGAATACGTTACGTTTACTTCATCTGAGAAAAGTCTTCTTGTGGCCTAGGTTTGCATTAAATAAATATACTTTATATTATTCACGTTATGTTAATTCTAACGAATTATAATGTCGACATCATCAGATTTCATAATACTATCCAAAAGAATCTCGAAGAGCGAGGACCAGATGTTGTTGAGTTACATCAACCATTATCTGTTGCCATGAATGGCATTCAAGCAGCAATCATTGAATGCATGGAAGCATGTTTATCTGATATTAAACGTGGAAATCCTATGGTAATATGCAATTTTTAATGATTTCTAATCGAAAGCAGATTTATTGTAATCTTCGACTATTTTATTAGATTGATATTGATGATTTAACGACTGAGGATGCTATGAACAAATCTTTTGATTTAAACATACGCCTACAACTTGAGCCATTCTGGCATCGGGTTAGTCAAAGAACAAAACATTTAGTTGGAGATTTGACAGTTTTGAGAAAACTGCTCTCGTGAGTATGTCGTCTTTTACTTCACACAGCTTATGCATTGTTAGTAATGATTTATTTTATAAAAGCTATCTAGTGAGCTACGATTGTGTAACATTCTATACTTTCCTCGAAACTATAATTGCTGAAAATATTCCAACCTCAGATCCCAATAGACCTCAATCATCGTCATCATCATCATGGCTTTTTTTGGATGCAGCAAATTCCATATTTGCTGTAAGTGCTGCTACAATTTTATATTATATTTCTAATTTTTGATTCACGAAATTTTGTGTTTCTTAAATCTAGCTTGCCAAGCAACGTGTGTATGTCCGAGTGATTCCTAAAGATGATGAGGAAGAATCGGATATTAATTCGGAATTCCCTCCTAATATTCATCCAGTTTTGGAAGAGTTACCGAAATGGAATTTACTAGGAGACATAATGAATGAAATTGAACACGAGATTGAGTTATCCAATAAGCAAAGCCGTAATGTCATTCTTGGAATTTGATGTAATAAAGTTTTTTTTCTTGATTTTCGCCATTCATTAGTTTCTTCAAAATAGAGCATACAGACAACCTAATCCTAATAATGACGGAAGACATTAGAACTTGCTCGAAATTGCGAGAGTATCTTTCAACAAATCAAAATGACTTAAAAGAAGGAGAAACTAGAGGAAGACCTATGCTCAATAAATTATTAAAAAGTTATTTTAGAAATAAGGATGGTATCACAAAGGCAAGCCGAAATCTACATCAATCTGCTTCTAAATCAAAAAATACTGACAACGCAGAAAATAAAGTGTATAAAAAAAGTGAATCTGCTAGCATTAACGAGAGGACAGGTATCATATATTTTTTTTAGTTATGTAGAATTTTCTAGATACAAATTTAATAAATTTGTAATTATAGATAAAACGAAATTGAAGACACCCTATAAGCGTGTACAGCAACCGCCCAATAAGCGTAGACGCGTTCGTGGAGGATCTATTGCAGCTGCTATCGTTTCAAGAAATCCTACAATGACTACAAATATCACACCTCACTCAGTTGATAACGAGATCAAAGAAATTGCTGATTTGTACATAATATATTATTTCTAACTAGAATTTTCTATCTATTAGTCGATACAATTATTGAATTTTGTTTAGCATAGAATCTAGATCATCGAAAAATGAATCGTCAAGTTCATCTGCTCAAGCACAAGAAACGGGATTTTGTCAAGATGAATTAGATACTTCAACATTTTCAAGTCACTTTGGACTGATTCCAACTTCATCATTAGTTGTAGTTCGACCGCTTAACGGTGAAGATGATGATCGACTTTTGGCATCTTTAAAACCAAAATTCATTATAATTTACCATCCTGACCCCGCTTTTGTGAGAAGAGTAGAGGTTAGAAAATCATTATCAGTATTTTAAATAATATAAAAATAATTCATTATTTATTCCATTATAAAGGTATATAAAGCTTCAAATCCTAATCTTTCAATTCGAGTTTACTTTATGATGTACGAAAATTCTGTCGAAGAACAACGTTATCTAACTTCAATAAGGAAGGAAAAGGAGGCTTTCGAAAGGCTAATTCGTGAAAAATCGGTAAGCTTAATCGAATCGTGAAATTTTTACGCCTCGTATTAAATTGTGACTTAAGTTTTTATTTTTCTAAAAATTTGGAACTAGACGATGGCTTTACCTATAGGACAAATGGAAGTCAATCTGGAAACGAGTGGGAATTTTGCGTTACCTACACAAAATACACGCATTGCAGGTGGTGGCTTGACAGCAGACAATTTACAGCAAGTAAAGGCAAAAATATATATTCTGTTAAGAATGCATTCATTGTCTTTTTATTTTTAATATTTTTTATATTCTTCCAATTCAGATTATCGTTGATGTACGTGAATTTCGGAGTGCACTTCCATCTATGATACATTTGCGTGGGATAAAAATTTATCCATGTAAAGTGGAAGTTGGTGATTACATCTTGACTCCAAAGATTTGTGTAGAACGCAAAAGTATCTCTGATTTGATTGGCTCCTTTTCATCAGGCAGATTGTTAGTTACTTTACGAATTGGTTTATATCCTTTTCCGCGGAGCTGACGTATATATGACTTTTATAATCTTAGATATTCCCAATGTGAAGCAATGTCGATATATTACAAACAGCCTATGTTGTTAATTGAATTCGAACATAATAGAGCTTTTTCATTAACGGTAAGTTCACATCATCTGATTAGATTTATTCATCATGATATTGATACGAATCCTCTTAATTAGGCGGTTGATGATGTTAAATCTTATATTGGCATGAATGATATATCATCAAAATTGGTATTACTCACTTTAACTTTTCCACGGCTAAAAATCATCTGGTCATCTAGTCCTTATGAGACGGTACAAATTTTCCAGGATTTGAAGGTGAGTTCTTTGTGAAATAGTCTCATATATTTTGCACGAATATTCTAAAATTTCCCGAAATATTGAAGAAATCACAAGATGAACCTGATCCCGAAAGGGCCATGGCAATTGGTCTTGAAGGAGGAGAAGATGCCGATTCGGATTACAATATTACACCACAAGTATGCAAAAAAATTTATTGATTTGATTCTATATATTGCAACATCATTTGAATTTTATTATCTTTTTAAAGGATTTTCTTCGTGCATTACCTGGCATTACCTCGAAAAATTACAAACGCGTAATGTCACGTGTAGAGAATCTCAAAGAACTCAGTGAAATGTCCTTAACAGATATGCAAGCTCTAATAGGGGAACAATATGGAAGGTTATTGTATGATTTCTTTAACAAGGATGCGAGAGTTTGATTTTATGGCGTATATTAGACAATTACATACAATGAAAGAGCGCTAATATTCTTGTTAAAAATAATTATTCGGATAATAATAAATATTCTAATAAAAGCATTCAAGTTCACTAGATGGATTTAATTCACTGACAACAATTTTATTATCTGATTTTAATTAACGACTCTTTCCTGCGGTTCTTGATTGAGCACCGCGAGCTTGTTGTTTCGAGACTTTAGGCTGTCCACGGGCGGTGGCAGCAGCAGTCTAAATAGACAAGAAATTAATATAGCTTAAAAATTAACAGTTAAATGTACAAAAACACGAACCTTTGCCTTATCCGCCTTTCTCTTTGACTGATCCGCCTTCTTCTTCTCTTTAGCTTCACGTATCGCGGCTTGACGAGCTGCTTCTCGAACTTCGGGTTTTTGATTTCGTTTTGCACGAATGGCTTCCCATGATGCACCAACAATAGCGCGTTGATGTTTGACGGCACGTCTTGTTCTTTTTTTGGCTACTTCCTCAGTGATGCCTTTTTTGTGCATACGACGATACACCTGTGTCCAACTGATTTTTCGCGGATTTTTACGTTGTAAGAAAAGCGACTCGGTTTTTGATCCAACAAAGCGAAACACCTTTTAATAAATCGATGTAAATGATATTTCTTACAATAAAAAATTCGGTCATTAAGACAAGAGCCATATAATTCCGTGCAGTTACCAACCTACCCTATTATCTGTTCGGACATAAAGTTTTCCTTTGCCCGGATAGATCTTGAAGCCAGAGAAAGAATCAATTTCTATTCTAAAGAATAGTTAACGATTGAGATGAAAATTTTTTATTTATCAACCAATGTTTGTGACGCTTGTTTGCGCAACAAATATAAGCTCTTTCATATGGAAAGAAAAGTGTTCAAGGAAACAAAGCAAAAAACGAATACAATGTACATACTTCATTTTGGCTTATTTTATTTTTGATAACAACAGAGGAAGAGTCTCAACCGATATTGAACAAACTTATTTTTTTTCAAGTCAGGTGATCATGTACCTTTTTACTTTGCACATCCAAAATTAGATATTTTAAATCAAAGGGAATAAATAAAGCCAAAGTGAACATTTATTAATTATTCAATATTAATTTAACTTCGAGAATCACAGATTATATCAAATGTTGCGATTAATAGGAATACAATTCAAAATAAAAAGTTTAAGAATGATTCATATAAAAATAAGAAATTATATCACCGTATTTTTTTAAACACAAATCCGATATAGATTCCTTTTAATAAAACAAAGTAGTTATTATTTTTATTATTATTGATGGTTAATAAAGATAATATAATTACCTGCAGCTTCCCATTCCTCCTCAGACATTTCTCCCTCGCTTGGTTTAATAACTTTCATTGTATACAAAAGGTCTCTAAAAGCAGTCTCCTCTTTAGCCTCGTTATACAAATCATGAAATCTTTTTTTATACACTAATTTCAACCCATATTCACTTGCAAGTCTAATAGAAATGCCAAAAGGAGACAAATATTTGAGAAATGGGCGTTAATCTTATTAAGCTAAAAAAACAAATGTAAACTGCGCTTACTGTTCGAAAAATGAAAATCGAACTAAATATTCTGGACAATCGGAAATTGCTTCTTCCAAATTGAAAGAATATTTATGACCGAATTCTGGAAACTCTTCCTTTTGCTCGAAACGAATAGAATATATTGAATTGCCAAATTCTAATTGATCTTGTTTCAAATTTTTCAATTTCTTACTTAATGGATTAATGTACAATAATAATCAATATAATATAATCGATGTTTAAAGAACATCTCGAAAAATGAAAACTGAAACATACACTATCCAATTTGCGTCAGGCAAAGTTCCAATAAAGAAACCACCCTTCTTTAAATTTGATGTAACATTTCTCAATGCCATTCGCGCCTTTTTTTCAGATTCAAATGAATATTGTAGACAGAATTGCATGCTGACTATGTCAAATTCTTCGTCACGCGAAATCTTTGTCGAAAGTGGATACTAATCAAATGATATCACTTAGAGAGATGCAATAAAAAGTTAATTAAAACACAAAAATTTATAATTAACAAATACCGAGAAGCAATCCATTGCGTAAAATTCTGCTCTCAATTTTCGACCTAAAGAAATAAGAGAATATTTAATATAACAAGAACTTAAATCCAGCTTTGTAAATCTAATCAAAATACCTTTCATATCTTCCCAGCGCTTGCGAGCATGCTGAATCGACACTTCAGCCAGATCTACAATAACAAGGTAATTAATTTATAATTCTAAGAATAATAATTAGTCTAGAAAATAAATAAGAATATAGTTGATACCTATTCCAATCAATTTCTCTATATTTGCCTTATTCCATTTATGTAAATCACCGCCTTTTCCACAACCCATGTCCAAAACTGTCATTCCACGAGAAGCATATCTTCCAATCAAAACACTTTTCACCCAATTATTAAAAAATCGTAAAAACAGGATATTAGACTCGTTTCTACGTTCTATACCAACATCAGGTTTACTATTATAATGTTGAGCAACTAGTGATGTATTATCATGTGGCGTTGAAGTGTTTGAAGTTTTCTGTGCTTTACGTGGCTGTGAGGAATAAGAAGACTGATTTGAAGAATGTGAGGTTGAGTGTTGCGAGCGGTAGGACGACGAATTAGGATTAAAATTGTCGGTTTTATTATAATGCACATTATGTTTTATAGAAGAGGTATTATTAGCACGACGAGAGCCATTTTGTGAAGAATATTCTAATTTCTCTTCTTCTTCTTCATATTTTCGCTTATGTGTATTTGAATTGGACATGGTTTTGATCTGAATTCTTTTAATAACGATAATGTTTCTTTTGACGATATTGATATTTTAAATTTTGGTACCATTGAACCATTGGCCAGAATGGTAAGCCAATGGATATAGCTGCATGAGATACATAAAATGATGCTCTATTCAAAATGACAAATATGTAAATTAATAAATAAGGTAAATAAATCAAATAAGGGAAATAAATAAAAAATACAAAACAAGTAAGGAGTAAGGGAAATAAATAAAAAAATACAAATGAAAGAATATTAAAATTAATAATAACATATTATGAAAATGACAACATAAATCGTTGAAAAAATCAAAAGAATTAAAATTCTAGATCAAAAGTAGTTTGATAAACTCCGCCATTCTGCACATTACGAGCTGTTGCTTTGATTTCCATTGTACCAAATGTTAACGAAAATTCGACTAATCTATTTTTTCCGAGACGTGGATCAGGTAAATCAACTATTTGGAGACAATATTAAATTTGAATATAATTAATAACTTTTAAATTAATTAAATAATAATAATAAACATGAACAAAAACTTACTCTTCATTTTTCCCAGTAATCTCATTCCATCTTCATCACAATATCTGGCACTAAGGGCCGGTGTAATGTATATATTAAAAGTCATATCCATTTGAGTTGCTATGACTGGCCCAGCGGTATATCTAAAGGTTTGATCCACGCCAACTTCAACTCCACGCTGAGCTAATTTATGGAATCTAAATATACGGCCAGAGGGAGTTTTGCGTTCTACTGGATCGCCTTTCTCCCATTTAGAACTGACTTCTACACCATATGTCCATTTGAGCACTCTTGTTTGCACAGTTCCCATATTTAGACCTAATAAAAGTTCAATAACAAAATTATTATAAATTTGAATTCCGAGGAGATAATTCAAAAATATAATTTCTTACCATACGCAAGAGCACCACGTACTATTGCTGCAATTGGATGTGATGGAACTGCGATAGTTGGTACGAAACGACTAAAGGCTTGTTTTACTCGTAATTGTAGATATTGAGATTCAGCGAATCCACCCACTAGGAACATACAACGCACCCGTCCTTCAGAAGCAGTCAATTGTTTTTGAATTAACGTTAAGATCTGATCAATTACAGGATCAAACATCGCTTTGACGGCAGCATAATCTAATTCAATTAGCCATTCGGCCTCTTCCATTTGTTCTTCCGCAACACCAGTAACATATTTCATTAGTGCAGGACAAATACGCTCAATATCAAAATCTTTGGTAGTGAATTCCTCGAGGTTACCATTAAATGGGAATTTCGCTTTAATGCAGAATTGTTGAATCATGTATTGTAATTGGCCATAATTGTTGTTTTGCAATTTATTCATAGCTCCCATTCCTACTTTACGTCCAACATATCGCACAAATTCTCTATCTACAAAACTACTGCCACACAAACCGCCATCTCGTTCAGTAACTTCTCCAAGCTTATTTCCTGGCAATAATGTACGTGTGGTTAAATCCACAGTTCCACCACCACAATCAACAATCATAAATGATGCTAAAATTTTTTAAAAAAAAGTTTAGATTTATTTCTAATGATATACATGCTACATCATTTACATAATTATAATACGGACATCCAACGTTCAACTGATGCTCTTTCAAGATGCTTATACAATGAATAGCGGCGGCTTCAGCTATAACCATTAAAATTAAAATATTATTAGTTGGTTAATTAATTGTAAAATCTATTACGAAACAAACAACATACGTTCTGTTGTGAATTCTAAATTTTCCGAGCGTAAAGAATCCGTCAACCCAGAATCATATGCACATGCACGCATAATAGCCTTGGCCTCATCTGAGAATACAAATAAAAAAATACATAGTTTAGAGTTATTCTAATCGGATTGATAAATATTAAATTATTTTATTTTTTCTATAATTTACCGTGCCATTCTGCTGGAACTGTTAATATTACGCGAACTTGCTGAGGAAATCTAATACCAGGCCATCGAGATGAAAGAGTTTCTGTTATTAACTACCAAAATTAATAATGTTAATTTTTCTCATGACTCATTTTTAGAAACTAAAAAAAATCTCAATCATACTTTTCCCATCTCACGAAGATAATCTGTAATAGCTTTTTTATGATCTAATCCTGACGGGAGTGTAGGCTTTTCTTCAGGCTTTAAATTAGATGCCAAACATAATTTGAATAATTCGACTGGTTTATTCTCTGAGCCATCTGGTAATCGTCTCTTCTTTTTACTAGAAGGTTCTAAATAAATGAATAGATTCATTATTCAATTGCCTTTTATATGATTAACCTAGTGATTATATGATAAAGGAAATGGTTTATTACCTTGAGCAAGAGCAGGATAACCCCTTGTTAAATTGAGAGATATAATTTTATTAAATATGATTTTTTAACAATATAATTTCAATACATAAATTAATAAAAATTCTACCATTTGACAACTTGAAATTTGTCATTATATTGAAGAGCCGTGTTTGTCTTGAACGAACCAGAATGTTCTGGCCAACTATCATTGGTGACAATATCATCGGGATTTTCTATAGATAACAATGTCAATTAGAATAATCTTTGCAGCTCAAATAAAACTTAAATTCTTGTTGATATTCACAAGTTCTCTTACGTGTATTTGCATAAGCAAAAGCTGAAAAGGTTGTGCCAAAATCTATTTATGCGATTTCGTTTTAGAAAGGTAATATCCAAAGAAAATTAGATTAAAATATTACCAATACAAACCAACAGCTACAACTAGACGAATATCTCGATTCATGTTATATGTTTGTTCCGACAACAGTGATTCCGATATTTATTTTATTGCAATTTTCTAACCTTTGTTCGTCTTTATAAAAAAGTTATTATGAAATAGTGATAGAAAGTGATGTTCGTCTTTATAAAAAGTTATTATGAAGAAAGTGATGTTATAATGACTAAAGTACTCGCATTTCCTAAAAATAGCAGCACAATGAAATAAAGGCTACACTGCAGCATTTTGAACAACGCATGTTGGTTAGGCTAATTCTATGTGCAACCAATTACCGTAAAGTCCCGATAATAAGCAACCCCCTAAAATAAGCAACCCCCCCCTCTTTAGACCCAAAAGTCTTAAAAAAATTGAATAAGCAACCCCCTTTTTTGGTAATAATTTTAAAAAATTAATTTTATTTTATTCATTTTCTAATTCGTCAGCTGAG